ACAATCAATTAAAAAAATTTCTTCCTAACCAAACAGAAAATAAAACAAAACATAAAGCACGAAAAAAGAGAAAAATGCAAGAGAGAGAGAGAGAGAGAGAGAGAGAGAGAGAAATACCGGAACAAAGGGAAGAGAACAATCAAAGAAGGAGACCACACTGCCGTTGATGGTACGGTCCAGGCAAACACAATTCAAACAGGAACAAAACAGTAAAGTTATAGGTATATTCAACATTTCTTGGTAAACAAACATAAATTAAACAACCAGTTTCAAATCGAGGACAAAATTTTTACCATGCAAAAGAGATATGCAGATTGGAGTGGTAGAAGACGCACGACAGGCAATAGCGGAAAGCGTGTTGGAGGGAGAAGGGGGAAGCGTGCGAATTTAGGGATTTGGAAGTCTGTGGAACTGAGAAGAGAAGACGCACGCACGGAAGAGAAATGAGAGGGGCAAAATGGCCAATTCACCATACAACCCCACTAAAACCAAAAAACCATGAAGAGAATGAGGGGCAAAATTGGACGAACATTGTTAATGAACAATAGTCATCCACCGGGTTTTAGTAGAGAACTGGGTAGTAATGCCCGCGTGTTGTTGCGGGATTACAAATTGATTTTCTAGCAGTGTATAAATTTGAGTTAGTATCAGTGTAACATTAATTTATCTAAACAAAATTACCATAGCGAAGGAAAGATTTTTACTTGCTATAGAAAAAGTATAGTTTTGATACTTACAAACGTAACTTGTTTAAAAAGATTGAAAGCCAGCGGTTTTTAATCTTGGCGAAGTGGGGAATGATATCTGGGAGTACTGAGAGAGAGAAAAAGGTAGTTTCATAAACTGCAACTTAGTAGAATTGAAGACAACGAAAATTGAATATTATTTACCATAAACTGACTTTGAAATTTAAATGCAAGAATGGAAATGAAGAGAATTCGTTTCATTGTTGTACGTCCTACTAAACTAAGAAATATAAGGGGAGCATGTACGAAAGGCATGTCATACAAACAACAAAAACAACTAAAATTTTCAAATGGGCACTGCCAAAAATTACCAGCCGAGTTACTGAAGACAGCGATATCAGGTCCGGAAACTAATTTCCACTATTCCAACGATGATCCAACAGGGCCCCAAAGCTTCAAGGAATAAGGTGCAATGATAGTATTATTCTTGTCGAACACCCTTTCTATGTAATTCAGGCCAATCAATGTACCTAATATGCACATCTATTGCCTTGGATTTTATCCTTTTGAATTTGAAAAGGAGTATGCAGTAAATTGAATTCTTTTAAGAATTGTATCCTTTTCAATAACTTCAACATAAATCCCCAAAATCACAAAAACGAAATTTCAACAAAAAAACCCATTTAGAAAGGAAAATTTACACTTCTACACACATAATATTTAAACCACAAAAATATCCACCCCAAATCAGCTGAAGAACTCTGCGGTAAACGCTACCTTTTCGGGGCCAAAACTCTAAATTGCGTACCTTGAGTAGAGAGAGCTTTAGAAAACAACGTCGTTGGAGAACCAGCCTTTGATGCGGCTGCGGCACATGTGGTGGCGGAAATCAATTAACCATTATGATTAACAACGTAACGAATTAAAAATTACAATTAACCATTATGTACTTCAAAATCACAAATGAGGTCATAAGGTAAAAAAAAAAATTAACCACTCAAATATCAGTGAATAAAACTAAGCGATGATGCAGGAAATCAATTAGAAGCTTGAGATACGCAAAAAAATTAAATTAATTGACTAACAAAATTGAAGCCATTCCCCTAATTTTAACTACTAACAGCAAAAAGAATTGAAAATTACCCTCAAGAATCTCAATGGAAAGTCTTACGTTAATTTTCAAAACTTCACGGTGAGGCAAATGTGAAAATAAATAGATTGAACGGTTTTAAATACGATTGGGCAAGGAATAGCATGGTACCGATCTTTCCCAATTCCAATTTTTTTATTTATTTTCTGCTTTTTTGTTTTTTCCTTTGAGTTTTTTCTTTGTACGTTACTTTATTTGATTAACCACTATTAAATTCAAATATCTTTAAATTTAGGTTTTAAATCGTTCTAAATATGTATTATAATAGATTTGCACGGAAAAATATATTTTGAAGAATGTGAGTTTGATAGTTTGTTGTTATGGTAAGAGAAATAAAACAAACATAAGCAAAAAAAAAATTAAAAAAAATAATAATAAATAAATAAATTGAAAAGGTAGATTCGGTATGAAGATAGCGATTTATTGTGATAAATATCGCTAATATGCTAGCGACAAATAATCTGAACAATCGGTATCTAAGTATTGATCGTATCCTTTTCTATTTCATTTATTTATTTTTTGCTTTTTTTATTGAATTTTCTTTTCTTCTTACGTTACTTTATGTAGATTCAAATACCTTTTGATTTAGATTTATATCCTCATTTTCCGTGCACCGGCTCACTTCGTTTTGTGTGCTCCAAGTGGCCTTAGTTTGTGTGACAGATCCAGTCTCATTTTGTGTGCTACAGATCCAATCTCTTTTTGCATGTCAGAAGCCCGCCTGTGTTTTCGATGAGCAGGGCCCCACCTTCCTTTCTGTTTGCCTAGGTTCACCTCGTTCTGCGTGCGCAGAGTCTGTCTCATTTTGTGTTCGTCAAGCCCGCCTAATACCCACATTTTTTGTTAAAACTTCAAAAAAAATTATTTTGCGAAATATTTTCCATGAGCATAAAAGAAAACTTTATAAGACATTTGGAAGTTCTTTTACGGTTTGGTGAGCAATAAAAGTATACTTAGTATAGTATTTAAGTCGAAAACTAAGCATATAAGTGAAAAATATAGTAGTGAAGCCCAAGACATTGTTAAAATGGGGTTCCACTCTCAAGAATATTAACAGAAAGTCTTACAATAATTTTCAAAACTTCATGGTGTGGCAAAGGTGAAAATAAATAGTTTGAACAACGATTTATGTACGAATTTGTAAAAACTGATTAAAAACCGTGAGTGTTAACTCACATTTTTTTGTGAAAAATGCTAATTTTTTATTTTTGCGAACTATGTCCTGTGAACATTAAGGAAAACTTTATAAGATATTTGGAGGCGGTTTTACGGTTTATTGAGCAATAAATGTATATTTATTATAATATTTAAAGCCAAAAACTAAGCAAATAAGTGAAAATAATAGTAGTGAGACCCAAGACATTGTTAAAATGAGATTCCACCCTCAAGAATATTAATGGTAAGACTTTGTTAAAATCGGATTCCGCCCTCAACAATATTGACAGAAAGTCTTACTTTAATTTTTTCAAAACTTCACGGTGAGGCGAAGGTGAAAATAAATAGTTTGAACGATGATTTATGTACGAATTTGTAAGAACCGACTAAATATCGTGACACCAACGTTTTTGTGAAAAATGCAAATTTTTTATTTTTACAAAATATTTTGTGTGAGCATTAAGAAAAACTTTAACTTTATAAGGCATTTGGAAGCAGATTTACAATTTTTTGAGCAACAAATGTATATTTAGTCGACCATTTAAGCCGAAAACTAAAAAAATAAGTGAAAAATATAGTTGTGAGGCCAAAAACATTGTTAAAATGGGGTTCCACCCTTAAGGATACCAACATAATGTCTTACCTTAATTTTCAAAACTTTATGATGAGGCGAAGGTGAAAATAAGTAGATTGAACAATGATTTATATACGAATTTGCAAAACCGAGGGTTAACACGTTTTTTTTTCTCATAAATGCAATTTTTTTATTTTCATGACATATTTCCATGAGCTTTAAGGAAAAATTTATAAGGCGTTTGGAAGCAGATTTACAATTTATTAAGCAACAAATGTATATTCAGTAGACTATTTAAGCCGAAACTAAAAAACTAAGTGAAAAAAATATGGTTGAGGCCCAAAACATTGTTAAAATGGGGTCCACCCTCAAGAATATCAACAATGTCTTAACTTAATTTTCAAAACTTTACGGTAAGGCGAAGGTGAAAATAAATAGATTGAATAATGATTTATGAACGAATTTACAAAACCAACTAATTTTCTATCTATAATTCTATTTTGCGACTTGGTAAAATCATAAAAAAAACAAAAACAAAAAAAGGTTTTTGAAGTCAATAAATTAAAGGGAATTTTAACGAAAAGCACCCGGTACTGTTCACTTTAACGAAAAACCACATTTCTACACTAAAAAGTCGATCCTGGTACTATTCACTTTACCCTTTATTTTGTCCTTATAATTAAAACTCAAAGTTTTCAAGCCATTTTCATTAGTTTTCCTTAAATTTTAAAAGATCGTTTCGAATGGGCTTAAAATGTTTCCCATAATTCGCATGCAAAAGATCTTGCAAAACTAAAAAAATTGATTTTTACAAAAAATTGTAAGCTATAAGTCGCTAAAGGTTTTGCCAATTTCTAAAAAGACTTTGAATAATTCAATTTAATTTTCTCCGCCCACCCTAAGCTTGTAAAAATTTAGTTAAGACCTTTCAAAGACAATACGGATGCCAGAACAACTCTAGGACCATGCTAGTATTTTCCTATCTATTATTCTATTTTGTGATTTAGAAAATTCATCAAAACTATTTCCAGGGGTCAATGAAATCTCCCAATGGATAACGTCCTAGAAAACAGCACCAAATAAGACTTTGTAATGATTTTGTAAAAGTTGAAAAAACCGAATCAAAATTGTGAAAACGTATTTTGGTCATACAAGCAAGAACATATAAATACTAGAAATCTCCGTCGGGTATGGAAGAAGTAGAATGCAACTCTCCAAAAAAAAAAAAATGCGAAAAATATAGCAGCATTCACCCTAACTAAAAAAGGAAAACTAATGAAAAAGACTTGAAAACTTTGAGTTTTAAAGATAAGGACAAAATAAAGGGTAAAGTGAATAGTACTAGGATTAACTTTTTAACGTAAAAATGTGGTTTTTCGTTAAAGTAAACAGTACCGGAAGCTTTTCGTTAAAGTTCCCAACTAAAAACTAAACGTAGTGGCGACTGAAAGAATGAATAAAATGAAGACTAAAATGTCCGTTACAAAAGACGAGTTTCAGCCAAAATAATTGGACTTCGATCCACATTCTAAACTAGACCACCTAACCTTTCATTGTGGAGAAAATTCATCTGGCGGTTCATCAACCGGAGGCGACAATGATCCAAAATCAAGGGCAGGGTAGACACCAGGTGGCCTTTCTCGAGGTTTAATTGACAGCAATTGGCTAGAGTCACCAACAACATCTGCTCATCCGTAATGCGGCTCAGCCCTTCATCAAAGATTGAAAAATCAAAATTAGTTTTACAGTAAGAGCAATAACAGAAGATATAATCTAAATTATATATATATTTGATTCCCTAGAATCCTTTTGACTGCTTCAATATACTAAATGCAGACAGAACCAACTCCAGCACGGAAGTGTGCGTGGAGAGAGTTGGAGACACAGAGAGAGACAGAGAGAGTGAGAAACTATTACTCGTAATAGGTCTCCTCGTCCACAACAATATCCCAGCTTTCCCCAGTCGTGCTTTTCCCATATTTGTGCACCTTACTGCAACGAGAAAGCAAGTTAACTTGTCAAAGAAAAACCAAAACAATAGATGACAATGCAGTTCAGCAAGCTTATCCCTTTTACGTACCCATTTACAAAGTGCTCTTCTCCCCATGTCCTTGACCAACCTAGACATTAGAGAACAAAAACAGAGTTGCATCAGATTACATTATTGAAAAGTTAAATGAACATGAAGATCTGAATAATTGGAGCAGATTCAAGACTATATATATGTTTGACGCGTGGTATAGTAAAAGGAAACAATTAAGGGACAAATTTTGTGTTGATCATAGTTCAAGGTCCTTGCACATACGTTCACCGCTTGGAGATACATGCCATGTCTCCCCTTGTCGCGAACCTATTCGAGCAAAGAACTTCTCTTCCCACTTGTCTCCCCATTTGGTTCCAAGTTCAGTCTCAGCCCATTTATCAGTCCTGAAAATTATAGCGTCCAGCATATATCAATGACTAGATATTTTTTAGCTGCCTGTATTGTGCTTCATATTTTTCATTGTAAATGGTCAAATGATGATACCAGATGACAAACGAATTTCTGAATTTAAGAGGAAGGAGGAACAATGAAGGGTTTTTTGTTTTAAATGAACAGATGAAGAATTAAATCAAGTCAGTTAGAGAAGATAATTAGAAGAAAAAAACCATTTGAGAACAGATCCCCTTCCATCATAATGCTCTCCCCACTTCTCCCACCAGGACTGCTCATTAAGTCTACCATATTTGTGTGCTCCTTTCTCGGTCCAGCCTTTAGCATCATATTTCTCCCACCTGCATCCAAATTATTAAGTAAAATCGTCCATATGTTTTATCTAATTCATCAATCCTTCAATGCATTATAATGTGACTTGTTGATGCACAAAACCGGAGGGGTCTTGGAACAACATCAATCCGACCGTGAATCTGCAAGAAAGTAAAGAACACAAAGATGTATCGTGGTTCACCCCAATGTTTGGGCTATGTCTACACTGATGTTGATTGTATTTCTCTGTAAGAGTGTGGATTACAAGTGTGAGGGGGAGTCCCCAGAGAAAGAGAGAATTTGAGAGTGTTTCTCTGTTTGTGAGAGGATTGTGAGGGTGAGGAGACATTTTTATAGACTAAGGGCTCCTCCTCTTTTTACATTTTTGCCCCTTCATTTATTACATAATTACATTTGAGTCCCCCGGGTATTTATACGAGATCTAAATATGGAGGCCCTAAGTATGGTACAAACAGTAGTCCCCCAAGTCTTCAGTCAAGAGAGTCTTTTGGCTGAAGACTTGAAATTCAGTCCATGTGTGGGCCGAAGTAACTAGATGTTGTCTAGAACTGAAACTCGATATGAGGCGGTGCTCAATGTGAAATGATGCTCAACTAGAAGTAGCACATGTTGTGAGGCTGCTCGGCTTGTGGCGTTGAAGGTGAGGGAGTCCCTTTCATAGAATAAGGGCTCGCTCCTCAATACATAAATGATCGCTCCTCAATACATAAATGATGGGCTAGAGTTGATGTTCGCGGCGAGGCGGTTGCTCAGCTGGCCCTAAGTATGGTACAAACATGACTAAAAATGAATTAGCAGCAAACCGTACTTTAGCTTACCATTTGTCCTACCATCCAGCATTTTCAGTGCCTTATTTTGCTTGTTTCTGTGCACTTCTCTCAATTCTTGCTACATTACTGTGCTTTCAAAGTTGCAACATTGATTTATGTTGGGAGAATGAAACAAGAGGAGGTCAAGATATATAAATTTAAAAAATTTCTATAACTACCGTTCACTTAGTAAGTTAAAAGTAATTCTCTAAAACTTAAATGAAATAAAGCTAAAATAAACACCTCCATTCATCTTGATGAAGAACTTCTTGCCAAGTTCCCACCACGAATCCCCTTCAGCATTTCTACCAGATTTCCCCACACCTATGAAAAGATAACAGATGGGAATCATGCATGCCTATATGTACCCATGCCCATGATATAGTAGTGAAATTAGCTGAAAGACGAGTTGCTGAAACGTATACAGGACAGAACAGTGTCTTCAACAACAACAATAACAACAACAAAGCCTTTTCCCACTAAGTGGGGTCGGCTATATGAATCCTAGAACGCCATTGCGCTCGGTTTTGTGTCATGTCCTCCGTTAGATCCAAGTACTCTAAGTCTTTTCTTAGAGTCTCTTCCAAAGTTTTCCTAGGTCTTCCTCTACCCTTTCGGCCCTGAACCTCTGTCCCGTAGTCACATCTTCGAGCCGGAGCGTCAGTCGGCCTTCTTTGCCCATGTCCAAATCACAGGAACCGATTTTCTCTCATCTTTCCTTCAATTTCGGCTACTCCTACTTTACCTCGGATATCCTCATGCCCAATCTTATCCTTTCTCGTGTGCCCACACATCCCACGAAGCATCCTCATCTCCGCTACACCCATTTTGTGTACGTGTTGATGCTTCACCGTCCAACATTCTGTGCCATACAACATCGTTGGCCTTATTGTCGTCCTATAAAATTTTCCCTTGAACTTCAGTGGCCTACGACGGTCACATAACACGCCGGATGCACTCTTACACTTCATCCATCCAGCTCGTATTCTACGGTTGAGATCTCCATCTAATTCTCCGTTCTCTTGCAAGATAGATCCTAGGCAGCAAAAACGGTCGCTTTTTGTGATCTTCGCTAGATTGCTCCGGTCATTAGTGTGGATAAGTATATAAATGAATAGAGATAGGAAAACAAACACAAGATGTACGTGGTTCACCCAGATTGGCTACGTCCACGGAATATAAGAGTTCTCATTAATTGTGAAGGGTTTACACAAGTACATAGGTTCAAACTCTCCTTTAGTGAGTACAAGTGAATGATTTAGTACAAATGACATTAGGAAATATTGTGAGAGAATGATCTCGTAATCACGAAGCTTCTAAGTATCGGAGTGTGGTATCGTCTTGACTTGCCTTATCTGTCTCATAGGTAGATGTGGCATCTTCTCTGGAAGTACTCTTCCTCCATCCAGGGGTGGTATCTTTAACTGGTGGAGATGCACAAGGTAATGTATCAATTTCACTTGAAGCTTACTTGTAGTTTCAGGCTTGGTCAAGCGCGATACAAACTATGTAGCAGGAGTCCCCCAAGTCGCCGAGCTAGGAGATCTGCTGAAAGAGGTGACAGACAAGGTAAGCAATCAGAGCTCCGGCTGATTGTTCACCTTCTCCCCATCTTGCAGCAGCATGAAGGATAAAGAGAAGAAAATGAGAAGAGATGATATGGGATACTTTTGCTTTTGAAGAAGTAACTTTCCACAGGCTTATTCTTGAACTGAGCTGGAGGGTTTTCTGGTTTCCTCTAGAGCCGACTGAAGAATTTGAGGGTCAAAACAAGTCCATCAAATCTAGAGTACGTTCGACCCTGCTGATATGGGATACTTTTGCTTTTGACAGAGTAATGGATGTATCGGCACGTGTGCTGTTACGCTTGTCTCCACATGCTTCCTCGTCGATTTTACAACACATTATCAGCACGAGAAGCTCTTGTGTCAGTGGAAAGCACAACGTCCAAATCCCGTTCACTTCCTTCAGCTGGAATCTCACAGATAAGAAAATCTTTTCATTTCATCTTAAAATCTTTTGTACTACTGATTTTCTTGAAGCAACTATATATATTGTTGTATGACTGTATATCATCATTTGCAGAAGCAAAAGAGTACAGACTCAAAATTCGTAGAGAATTTGACAGCCATGTAAACAGCCTCGGCACTCCAACTTGCGGACCTCAGATTGAAATACTTTCTTCTTAAAAGTTGTTCGTCCTCTCAATATATACAACATATCAAAATTTCAGAAAACTTTAACGGTGCGATCGTTGTAAATGTCTTAAATACCAAACCAGTTTACAATTTCCCCAGAAAACTGGACAGCCACCTTATAAGTACTAAAACTCCATTTCGGTAGCTCAGATCGAAATTGTTTCTTCACGAAAGTTGTTCGGTATCCTCTTATCCATATCATATTAAAATTTGAACTAAATATAACGGTTTGATCATCTCATAAGTTGCAGACACTCTTGACTCCAAAACTTATGGGAACCATTTCGACTTTTTCGAAACTCATCAGAGGAGGAACACCAATTGGAACTTATTGTTACTATTATTTACTGAGTAACCAAAATGACTTCAGAACTGTGAAATAAAAATAAAAATAAAAGGAATCAAACAAAAGAAGTGGCAGACCAAGAAAAAGAAAAAGCAAAAGATGAGGACTTAATCATTGCATTTTCTGTTTTGGCATATTTATGTGCATGGTGTTGGTTTAAAACTCATGTCACAAGTTCTATTTATTTAAAGCAATTTATTTACAGTGGGTAGAATTATTACCCTTTGCTTTAAAGCTTTGATATTTATGTGCATGGTGTTGGTTTAAAGCCCATGTCACAAGTTCTATTTATTTAAAGCAATTTATTTACAGTGGGTAGAATTATTACCCTTTGCTTTAAAGCTTTGATATTTATGTGAATGGTGCTGAATCAAAGCCCTTGTCACAAACTTTATTTACTTTAAAGCAATTTATTTACCATGAACGGTTTTACCGCCTATTGCTTTAAGTTTTGATGGTGCTGAATTAAAGCCCTTGTCACAAGCTTTATTTACTTAAATGCAATTTATTCGTTATGGCTGGAATTACCGCCTATTACTTTAATTTATTTATTGTACTTATCTTTTGTTACAATGAGTATATATAGGACCTGAAGTTCCTTGATCAGATCAGAACCTGTAGTTTCTTGATTCTCATCATATAAAAATGATTGGACCTGAAGTTCCATCACGCAAAAAGATCAGGTATGAAGTCCCTTGATCCTGAAGATCAGGACATGAAGTTCCTAGATAAGTACCGTAAGTTTGAAGTGCCGCAATGCCTTAACTTAATTGTAATAAAAGCCGTAAGAGTCTCAGTTTACAGACTATTAAATAAGGACCATAAGTTTCTTATGTCCATACTCAAAATGGTTTAGCAGAAGCCTTTTATTAAGCGAATGAAATTGATTTCCCGCGCTCTGCTCATAAAAACGAAATTGTCAGTTTTCTACATGGGAACATGTAAACTGTACATGATGCATTATTAATTCGGTTGAGACATGTTACCGACCTTCAATACTTCTCAGTACAACTCAGGTTTGGGAACCAGCCAAACATTATACATTTACGAGTTTTTGGTTGTGTTATCTATATGCCTATTGCACTGCCACAACGTACTGAAATGAGGCATCATCGTGGATTAGGCATTGAAGTTGAGCATCATCTATCATTCAATATTTAGAACCCTTGATTGGGGATATGTTTACCACATGGTTTGCAGACTGTTATTTTAATAAGACAATTTTCCCGCTATTAGGGGGAGAAAATATCGTTCCAGAAGAATGATGAGAAAATACCGTTCCAGAAGAACGAAGAGAATTTGTCTTATTTTCATTCACGAAGCAATCAATGAGAAAATGAAATAGGAATAATTGAATGATGCAACGAAAGTGATGAAATCATATATACTTGCTGCAAATGTGCCTTCAAGAATTGATGTCCCTGTTGGACAAAATAATGAGACAGTAAATGATTTATCTGTTGCACGCCTGAAGCGTGTCAGACTTTTAAACTCAAAATGTTTAGTCATTTGAAAGAAAAAGAATATGGCACTACTGAACTATTGCATTCCCGAAGCTTAACTGTTGCATGCCAGAAGCATGACAGTCGCCGCATGGATACACGTCCTAGATAGGACAATCCGCGAACATGGGAATATTGATGTCTCATGCATGAAGCATGATTGACGTATAGGTTCTAAATGACTCAACTCTTGG